CCCCATCATAGAAGGCCACCAAATTGGTCAGGCAGGATTTCCCCTTACTGAAGCCATGCTTCACTAAGAAGTGAAGAAGTGAAGAAAAAGAAGGATTTTGAGCCTATCCTAGATATTTTAAATAAGAAAGAACACAGCCACAAAAAAAATCCTGTTGTCAAAATATGGTGCTGGGTTCCACATGGGCCTCAGTGTATTTATTTCAAAAACATATTCAACCATAAGGATCATCAATAGTTAATTGATCAATTAAACACCAGGTTTCTGGAGTTTAATAAGTAGAAATATCTTGTAGAATGCTTATTTTTGGTGGTTTTAATATAAAGAAAATAGGTGCTGAAAGTACTGAAAGAGGCATGGAGACTTGTAAGAGGAGAAATAAATACGGATCTGGGAAGTGAAACTGAAACGAAAAACTAGGACCAAATAAAGGATATGAACTCTCACAAGATAATAAGGACTGAAGAAAACAGAATAGAAGAACTTAAAAGGGAAAGCTGTATTCAAAATTGTCAAAAAGCCTAATCCATATTTGGAAAGAAGAAACAGAAGACAGGTTGAGAATACAAAAAAATGGAGGTTTTTATTGCTGGACAATGACATCCAAGTCTATAATAACTAAATATTAAGAAATAGAGATGAACATCTGATCTTTTGAGGATCTTTTAGAATTTATGGTATTTATGAAAATACTGGCAGTGACAATACCTTATATGCCATAGTGAACATCAGGGCCCCAAAATAATAAAAGCTGCAGCTCTGAAGTAGAGATTATTTCATATATGAAATACATATGCTTTCCTATGTATATCTATACTTTTCATTTTTCATATGCAAGTTTTGCTTCATTCTACCCTATAACAAATGTAACAACGTTGGTGGGACACAGACAACAAACAAGAAATTTCTCAGAGCAACAAACATCAAATATTCATTGCCTTGTTTCTAACAGTCAAGCTCACAAGTGTGCCACTCCAGTTAATGAGACAGATATGTGGTGTGTGTATATTTATATATACACACATAAAAGATACAGATTTCAAGGAGCGTTAATACTGAATGAGACTATCTTGCTAACCTTGTTGGGGGGCATGAGTTTTAAGTATTTTTATGTGCATCTCTGCCCTTCTTTGCCCTCTAATACCTTTTTGTGGCTACTACAACACACTGACTACATGGAAAACTGTGTTAAAAACATAGTTGTGTTCTCATTTAAAAAGAATGCGAAAATGAAAACCACACAGATATTGCATTACTGAATCATCCTCAACCAAGATCAAAACCAAGTACTGAGAATACAAACACAAATGTTTCTGCAGCCGTAGCTTAACAGCATGCAATTCAGTACACCGCAATCCAGCCCAAACCTCCCATGAAGCAAGTGGATTATGAACAATACTTACTATCATCAGTGACCAGTATTACAGAGGCCTTATATTCTTGAATTACAAGTTACAAATGTTACTGTGGTATTCACAGCATTCCCATTAGCTAATGTTGAGAATACCATGTATATCACAGCAATGCTAGTTATTTGTAAAAGGTAAAGGAAAGATTTTATAATCGCAGCATGACTAGACAAGAATGCCCTGGCTAACACTACAGTATGAGGGTGAACAAACTTCAATACAACATAAACTACCTCTGAAAGGGTTAACACTTTAAAATGTGTTAAGAAATGGCTAAGCTATATTTTTTTTTTGATAAATTCATACACTTCTGATAATCCTGGCTTCCTAGGGAAAATACTGCAAGTATTGGCACTCTTCAGTTGGAGATTTCAAGCTCTATTTTGTTAGATTGCCATTCAAACCAATTCAACAGCCACAAAAAATCAGCATCACTACAGACCTTCTGATGTGTGCCTACACCACTTATCTAGAGTCACAGCTGCACTCAATATGGTTATAGATCTTGTTTATAACCCAGTGTTGAAGAACCCTCATCTTTAATTTATCTGACTGTGTGTATTTCAGTATACAATGTCTGATACGTGTAATTATTCACTATTAGGATGAAAGTTGCAGTCCTGCTGCAGTATGTAGTACTGAAATTCTTCAGCAGAAATGGAGGAGCCGGGTGATGTATTATTCACTTCACAGACCATCACAGTTCATCAAGTAAATATATATAAAGTCTGAGTCATTTTTTAGACTTTCATAAACATGTATTATTCAGACTGAAAAGAATGGACCCATCTTACTTTCAACACACTCTTGGAGAATAATGCGAGCTTGTAACCTGTTGTAGCTGCCTAGTGTGTGTATTGGATTACACTGCATTAAAATGATCAAATATTTCATTTGATTTCTTAATTAAAAATACGAAGAGAAAAATATCGATCAGATGCTGCAAACTGCCAAGCTCAATGTGATTTACAAGGATGTTAAATTAAAAGAACCACAAAAATCTTTGGCAGACAACAACCAGAATTTTCTTCAATTTCTTTTGGACTCAATCTATCTATGCTGAATTTCAGCTCAGATTTTTTTCAGTGAGAGATATCTATGAAGACCATGGTGTAATGTTTATAGTGAGAACTTATCACTTCAGTGATGATATTTAATTGTAAAGAAAAAGAAACAAAAGCACAGACAATGTAGCCATATGGACCCCTTTTGTTTTTTTCCTCTTGCTAGTAGAGATGACAAGATGGATTTAAAGAGTGGATTACCTCTTTTAGAAAAAAAGTACAGAAGGGAATCACTGACATTTAGAAACCCTGCAGCAAAAAAACAGTATTTACATGTCGTGGCACCTTAATTAAAATATTGGGAGAATTTTTCAACCCTCTCCATCTCACTTCAAAACTAAAATAAAAAGCCCTAAACAGGGCAGTGTCCCAAGGCTCACAGACACTGCTTCAATTTTATTATACCTCTGAATGTTAGGAGTTTTCATTTTGTTAACTAGATTACAACCTGGTTTGAGGAAATTTAAGGACTACCTTCCCATAGACTCTTAAGTAAGTATTTTCTGCCTGACATGTCAAGACATAAAAGCACTTCTTATTGATATTTACAATTGAGATGGATACTACATCACTGAAGCAATACAAGCTTCATGTCTATGAGTTTCAGAACTAGTTTTTAAAGCCAAATAACCAAAATGGACAGGTTAAATTTGGAATGGACTCACTCCAACCAGATCTATTGTACCCATAATACTGCAGAGGTCACTGGTATGTCTGATGCTGAAGGTTGGGCCATATAAAGTCTTTTGAGGCAAACAGACTTTGCTGCTTCCAAGAATTCATTTTGACAAATACACAAACAAAATGGCAATATAGGGACATAACTGTATGTTTGACCTTCATTTTATCTTTTGCTGCTGCTGCTGTTGTAGCTACGACTATTTTACTTGGACTGTACTATTATTTATGAAGTTTTGATTAACGTCTTGAGTTCCATTTTGTTGGAAAAAGGAAAAAAAACTCAGTTTCCTTTCCTTTCTTTTATGTATTAACTGTAGATACAAGCACCGCAGCCTAGCTCTTTTTGCGTCATAGCTTTACTAGAGAAGGGTATCACTGCTTTTGCTCTAGGGGCTTCCTCACAAGTGTTCTTCCCGAAGCTGCAGATGTGATCGACATTTCAGACGCCATATTTATGAGTCTTTCTTTACATTACATTTAACACTATTCATACAAGCCATTACCTGAATGCTTCTTTCTGAGAAGGGCTCCTCTTGGGACTAGACTTATTAGTGAACTTGGGAACAGCATTTCCATAACCGTTCCTTTCATTGACTGAAGCTAATTTATACAGCTATTGGCTGAGATCATTTGACACACACAAAAAAAGGTTTGGTTGTTATCAAGAAGTACTAAATATTACAATAATACTCTAGAGATTTACCAAGAGGAGGTTAGAGAGGGCATTGGATTTGTTTTTCTGGATTTCTATTTGCACTTAAGTATATTTTAGATTTAATAAATTATTCTTAAGGGCAAAAGGAAAACAGCTTTATTTAAAGCTGTAGAGTTGCAAAAGAGCACGCAAGCAATTCTGCTAATGACCACAGTTTATGATAATTTTGAGCAGATGACATTCAATTTGGACAATTTTTTTGCTTTTTAAGATAAATATTACACAAGTAAACCATTTTCTGTTTTCTTCAGAAGAGCAGAGAACAACAAAAGGGCATCAATAAGATGTGCTTCTTTACCACATCCACCATAAAAGTGAGGGGATGAGGTATAAGCAGGCCAACATAATAAATTACAGAAAGCCCACAAAATAAAAGCTTGGGTTTATACAGCAGAGTTATCTGGAGTAGTTGTGTGACGTATTGTGTGAGTGTGACTGTGAAGGTCTGCAAGAGCTAAAGTCCAACTGCTTGGTCTGCTCTTTGTAAGTGGGCTTTGCAGCTCCAGCTGAGTTTTGAGTGGCTCGGTGTAACTACACAGCGAGCAGTACCCAAACCAGCTCAGATACACCTGCATGAGCTACAGTGGTAGACACAGACCTAGGAGGATCATGTGGGCATTCCAGATGTTGTTTCTTTCTTACATGGAAACCAAGTACAGCCAAGAAGCCCCCATGTCTTTATATCTCCCTTCATTTCCTTAGAAAGACAAATTCCGAATTAAGTCACCTACTTTGATAAGGCAAAAGCCCTTTGTTTTGTAGTGTTAAGAATCCAGAAGCACCTACAGATTTCCTTAATCAAGCAGGCAAGCGAGGGAGATAGGAGGAACAGAGGGTCAGTGCACATCTTGCTGCTCTGCTATCCCTGTGTGATAGCTTGTCCTCCCACCCCACCAATCTCAGATATTGATGAATAGGAAGCAAATTACCAAGCATCATCCAACCCTCAAGCTGTTCCACATATAAATGTGACTATTAGGGCATACCAGTTCCAATTCATTCAGTAGTCAGCAGAGAGGAATTTTTCATGGCTATCTTGCAAGAGGAATCAGAAGAACCAATATGAACTTCATCTAGCACTTAGCTGAGGTGAAAGAGGACCAGTAAAAAATTTTAATGAGGATACTGTACCTAATGTAACTGGATCTGGATTCACTGGACTCTGCTGTCTGGAATGACTACTGCTGCTGTTACCGCTTTTTTTTAAATCTTCTGCATCACTGTACCGCCGTATCCAGTAATTGAGCTCCTCACGATCTGCTTCTTGACATCGCCGTAGTACAGTAAGAGATCGCCTAGTTTTTTCCACCATGTCCATTATACAGTTTAACAGCTATTTGCAGCAGTGGATGGAGCAGATAAACACACACACAAAAAAAAAAAAGAATACTTTATTCATAAATTGACAGAGAAATACAGAAAACTAACGTGCTGAGTGCCTGGGGTTTAATAATGGAGTCTACCCCTGTTGTCTCAAACACAGCTGAGAAATTTCAGTCTTGTTTTTAAGAATGGCAATCATTTCATGGTAATCCTAAACTGTACAGGTAGGGATTTCTGAGGGAAAGGGCACAGACAGGGAGAAAAAGACTAAACAGACTGCAGTCCCACTAGTGTCACATGGCTCCAGAGAGGCCAGGAGAACTGGTCCAAAAGTCATGCCAGAACTAATAAATTCAAAGAACAAATAAAATGTGCCCCAGATCCAGGGTTTATAGAGCAGAATCCATTCCCTATTTGGCAGCCCGTAATAATTAGGGTACTGCAGGAAGCACTTAACAGCAAGGCCTGGTATGACCTACCTAATGGGGAACAGGGAGACCTCTGATCTAATCACCAATGCTTTCAAAACACACACTGGAATTCAGATTTGTTTTAAAAGAAAAAAATAAATAAATCCTTTCTTAGAAGTGCTCCTTTCAGACAATTATACATAAAAGTACATTCAGCCCTTACATGGTCAAGGTGTTTCCACTCTTCCGCCCATTCTCTGTCTGTTAGCCTGTGATCAATCATTTCTTCTTGACGTGTGCCATGCAACCCTGCCAAAAAGGAGCAAATCATGTTTACAATGTTGGAAGTCCTCTAGGGAGTTAAAAAAAAAAAGAAAAAAGAGCCAATCAGACGAACATATGACATATTACCTGGTCTAGCACCAGGAATGCTACCACAAAAATAAACGGATGCTTAAAAACTTCGCTCTAAGTTCTTTTTTAGCACTTATCCCAACACAAGACGCTACCGTTTTACTCAATTTAATGTGTTCAATTCTGCAGGTTCTGTAGGTTGCAAGATGACCTTTCAGGAATGGACATACGCCTCTGATTATATACTATTTTAATATATACATAGCATAAAATACAATATATAACTTTTCACTTGCACTACTTGAAGAAGTCAGCAAGACAATTGTTTGGTAACTCGGCATACTGAATATTAGCTGCTCTTCAGAGTTGAAAAATATTAGTATAAACTCAGTGTTATTTCACTAAATGCAGTAATTACTACCATGTCAACAGAGCATCATTAAGGGTTCATCCCTTCACAGATGTTTAAACAACATGTGGTTAAAATGTAGCACATATATCAGAACAGCTGACAACATGATACAACCAAGCCAGTATTTATTATCAACACTCAAGAGGAACCGACACTTGTTCTTTGTTTAGCCTCCTATATACAGATGCTGAATATTTGTAAATGTTCTTCTTATCTTGAAGATCTGTTTAAAACCAAGAAGAATAGTAAGTGCAGATGCTAAGCAAGCCAGGCAAATGCAAGAGCATCAGACATCCCATTAAACCAAAATGTGTTGCTATGTGTAGGTGGTGCTTCTGCCGTTTGCATCCCCTGCAGACACCCCCATGTTGCACCGCACTTTTGAGATGTCACACACAAAACACTCTCTAAAGGCTAGTAACCTTCCTCTAGCCTAAGCTGAAATCAAGCTACATCAATGTTATTATTGTCACAAATCTGGCATTAGAAGAAAAGTCTCTACCTATCCTTGCCTGTCAGACACCTGAGTGTCCATGTCACCTACGCAGCTGTGAAAGTAGAGTTCCTCCTCCTTCTGTCTTGCTCTAGAGTGTAGCAAAGACACAATTCAATCTACTTTTACAAATATAAGTTTGAAATAAGGCCATTAGAAGCAGCTAGATGGACAAACAGCTATAAAGGCTACATCTGAATGGCAGTTATTATTTAACCAGAAATAAAAAAAAAAAAAGCTCTGTCCACAATACAGAATATGACTGCAAGGAAAAAAGAAATCTAAGAAAAAAAACAATGCAGAAAATCAACATGCCTTACCCATAGGTCTGTTTCTGTCCCTGAGGTCCCTGTGGTTAGGGTGTCTGTATGAGTCCCTGTAGTGGTGGGCAATGGCCATATCATCCAAACGATAATGCTGAGGTGGAGGTGGGGTGGGATGAGGCAGACCATTGGGCTGATAAGATAAGCCATTATTTGGACTGTACCGCTGGCCTGGGCTAATAGTGCAGGGCCGCTTGCTTGGATGCTCTGAGTGCAAAGGCTCTCTGTCAAAGCCATTTTCTTTGGTTCTGAAAAACAAAGCAAAGGAATGTTAATTCATGAGCAGAGCTGCTCAGGAACATGCACCCCTACCTACACATGCAGCTCTTCAGGAACTAAAGCTTGTTCTTTCACTTTGCTTCATGTGTGTGTGTTGCAGAACATTTCATACTGCTGCTCATTCAAAGTATACACAGGACATAATCACCTTCTCTAACTATCTGTGTAGTGCGAGAAATACTAGCAGTGTGAGCCTTCCAGTGGAGTGGCTTGAAGAGCTGGGCTGGAAGGCGAGCAGCCTTCACTGAAATCACCAGCTGATGGGATGGATACACACATAATTGAAGAGCTGAAACAATCAACTGAAACATGAAACTAGAGGCTGAGAAATCTCTACTTTCAGTAGTCCTATAGCATGTAGTAATTAGGGGTAATTTGCAGTTAAAGAAGGTAGGAGGTTTTTTTCAACAGGATAGCATACCGTCTTAAGGCAGTTTCAGTGTGCTGAAGCTCAGCTATATGCAATGCCAGGATGAGCTCCCATAAAGATCTGTGTCACACCAAGACTTTGGGTGAGAATGACTATAGATAATGAGAAATGCTTTCTTCAGAGATTTTTGTACCATCTGGGTTATTTCAGTCAAAGGTGCTGTGACTGTCATTAATTTTGCAGGAAGATGTGGTTAGACTCAAGTCCTCAGTAACATTCAAGATTTCCCACTCCATTACTCTCAGACAGGGGTTTAATGCTCAGGCAACTTTGAAGAGTTGTAAAGGAGAGGGGCAGTTTTTTATGCTATTGCTACTTGTTAGTACAATTCAAAATCAGCTATTTCAAACGTCTCTACTCTGCACCTCTGCCTGAGAACCTGGGCCTCACACTGAACTAATTTTCCATTAAAATAAAAAACAATAGGTTAGAGTTACTTCAAAAGGTTCACAACTCTTTTTAGGGAAGCTTCATTTCAATAAAGTATGGGGTTTTTTATCACTGGAATAAACTAAAGCTACAAAATATTACTTTAAACAGAAATGTTATTAGATATAAATATTTCAAACTGTTGAGGTTGCATCTCTCCCTACAAAAACCTTTATTAAACAGCTGATATATTCTAGTCTATTTTGAAGAGAACTTTCTCCTCCATGATTTACAGAAGACATAATACATCTTCCTAGTAATAACACAATTTTTTGTCACTTTGACAGGAAGGTAAATTTGAGCCAATTTTCTTGTTTGCCTGCTGCTAAAACCAACTGCCCTTCAACAAAACCTCCCCCACAAACCAACCAGCCTTGAGGGACTGTTTGTGGAGAAATACTCAATGCATTAATTGTTGCCCCTCAGCAGGTTCTCCTTGAACGTCAATGAGAGGAAGGATAAAACCAAATCTTTACCAATGTCCACTAGGAAGAAGGATCAAAAGGAAATCTTGCAATTACAATCAGGAAATTAAAAGATAAGTTGCACTGTTTTCAGAACGAACAAAGAGAGTTTTCAGGGATCTCACCACAATCACTAATACCAGAGAAGCTGCAGGTAAATATAATTTTTTATACCTTAACTTGGCAAACATGGAAGAATCTTTCACCAATAAAGCAAGGACAGCTGTTCTAATTCTGGACAGAGACATAAAAGACATACTTTGTTCAAGTATGTACCTTGTTATAAAGCAAATGCAGAATGCTGTGAAAACTCCTAATCAGGAAAACCTGAAGACCATCACAGATTTTTAATGACACACAATGGAACTGCTTGCAATAACTCCCAATGGCTAGTGATGTTTTTGATGGCTCTCAAAGACAAGTTTTGCATTTAGCTCCTGGTGTTTTCTTTGCACATATCTACTCAAGCTCAATGTCCAGATCTTTCAATTGCAAAATATTATGCAAGCAAAGAATGGATTTTCCTTTATGTACAAGCCAAGCTATTCATTTGCCAAAGTTCTTTATTATTACAATTAGAATGTTCTCTAAAATGGGGATGGTGGTAGTCAGAAACTGTATGGAATTAAATAATCTTATTGACCTTTTTTTTTTGATCACTGAATGTAGGAAAAGCAACCCAGAAAAATGTGGCCAGCAGGAATCCAGTTTTCCTTTTCTGCTCTAAGGTTATGATGTTCAAATAATCTATTTTCATACAAATGCACATATTTGCAAATTACTGTACAGGTACTTCTGTGGTTTTCTTAGGAATGCTTTGTATTTAATTACCTTAACTAGAATGCAATGCATCAGCTTGGACAACACGTCAGCATATCCATTTTTGTCTAGAACCCTGAGTTTAACTAACATAAAAATTAACATTACCATTGAAAACACTTTTTTTTTTGTTGTTGTTGTTATGCTGTGTAACAGCTGTCAGGTCTTTTCTGGGTGTTAAAACCCTAACTCTAGAATTTGTTGTTATATTTTCTGCATAGACTAAATAAACAACATAGCAGAATACCAAAACGAAGACTTCACATTCAGTATTTTTGTGTTTCTGGCTGTATAAAAGATATTAAAAGGTATTAACTTCCAAAGTCTCATCAGAACAAGAATCATTGGCAAATTTACTGTATCTGAATATACTGAATATAGTGATAAAAGACTGAAGAGTGACATAATTCAGTTGCCCTGACCTCAACCTAATGTTCTGCTTCTCACCTCCCCCCCCCAGGACACCATCATTTCACCAGGTGCCTGAGGAAAGCACTCCTGTTTCACAGCAACTGAGAGACTCATGCAAGTACTAGTTCCAAATCCAAACCCACCACAATTTTAATCTGATTTTTATCTGATCCATCTGATTTTACAAAGCAACAGTAAGCTCTAAAGATGAAATAACACTGAATGTGTAAGCAAGCATGACACATTTTCTTGTTTTAATTTTTCTTGCTCCTGTTGGTCACATTTTCCTTCATGTGCACATAAATGGACACTATCCTTTGGAAAATTGGCCTTATGATAAAGTTGGGGTCCCTCAGATACAAACATGCAAGGGGTTATTTTACTTTGAGCCATGATTCACTCAGATTAAAGATAGCAGAATAGATGCTGGTCATTAGTCTGTACCCTTTAAGAGACCTTACGTTGTTTGTAAGTTATCATTTCAGTTTTAAATTATTTCAACTTATGGATCATTTTTGGGTAGGAAATCTGACCATGCAAAACTGCCTTGGCTGGGAAACTAAGTATTACGCCAATTTCAAATAACACTGAAGTTAGCTTGCAAGGAGAGAAAGCTATTTGTGTGAGATGCTTTGATTTAGATTATACTCCTACCAATACAGTTTTGATGACAAAAGAAGTGATAAACTTATTTCGTTTATAATACTGTGTTATAGAAAAGATTAATATTCCTTGCTAACAGTTCATATTAGGAAAATTATTTTAAAATTTCTCATAAATACACATGGCTTACAAGGAGCACAGCTGTAAGAGCTGTGAGCATCTTTCACCTTACTGAGATGTGGAGGAGCTTCGTCAAATAAGATGAATCACCTAACAGAACTATCAAAGTCAGTCTCTGTGCCCAAGTACCTTCAACACAAATTCCTTATCAGGGGTGTCAAGGGTACAGCAAGCACAGCAGTACTTTCTCACAGAACAATCATGACCATTTTTGTTTTCTTCTCACTCAAAATTAGAGCTACTCTAACAGATTTTTTTCCAGTCATATATTCACTTTATATGCAGCTGTCATAAATGTAGAGTCACTGTGGTATGACACACATACAGCCCTTTCCAACAAGCTCAAGGGATGACTAATTAGCAAAAAGTCTTTTGTGGTTAATGTATTTTAAATCATGTTATTTATAACCAAGCATTCATTCACCAAACAAAAACTCACATTGGTCCAAGTTCTTTTGCTTTACTATGGTAGAATGTAAACTCCAAAAGTTGTAAACAAAATAGAGTGAACACTTTGTTCATGACATGTCATGAACAAATTACCAAAATGTGTTGTCTCCTCAGGTGTCAGTTTTTCTCTCTTGCAGTGACTGATGGTTCCCAGTGTTATTACAGAAACAGATTGATCTTTTTAATGAGCTAGTTTAATAGACTCCAAAATCTCACCGTGGCTGCTCATCCGTGTCAGACCATATGCACCAAGAAAACATTCAGTAAAACACGAAGCTCTGCTGTCAGACTGCTCTATAAAACCTCACATACAGTAGACTTGGATATGCAGATAAATAACCAGAATTGGAAAATGCATATGCAAAAAAGGGTTGGAAATTATAAGCAGGAAATAATTCCTGCATGTGGATTTTCTTTGACAAAAAATTACAAGGTGGATGTGGTTATGTGCAACACACAGGTTCCACTTACTTTGCCTAATTCTTTACTGTATTTTCACCTCTATTGGAATCAATGGTATGCAGTTACCCGTGCCCAAAAGAAAAATGTAAATATGGAAGAATGTGTCTATATATGATATACCTATATCACATACACATTATATACAACATATGTGTGCATATACCATATCCCTTGAGAAGTGAAAAAGACACCACAATTTAATTTAGTAAGAGACATATCTCAAAAAAAAGAAATTATTACAACTGCCTTGAGTTTCCCTGGAAAGATGTTGCCTTTTAGTAATTTTTCTTCATATTCTAGCAACAAAGTCACAGCAAACTCTCCTTGCAAAGCATGCCTCCTATCTTCCACTGTATTTTTATTAGCATATATGAAAACTACTTATCTAACAAAAGGTATATATATTTCCAGATGTTTCCTTCTGTTCCTCTATAAACAATTAAAATAATTAATAGTGTAATGAGTATAAAGGCAGACAAATATTTGGTTTCAATACTCAGTCTAGGCACGCTTTGACTCTGAGGACAGTTTTCTGTGGTTGATTTACTTACATTATCCAAATTAAAAGGTATGTAAACTCCCATTCAGTAAATGTAAGAATCTTTCCAATGGGATCTTGTCTTTTTCCTAAATCTGTTGTACAAATGTTCCTGAGTACAAGAGACAACTCCACCAAACTTGGTTCCACCAAAACTAATGTAGGGGTTTATGTTTTCCTGCATAGCTTTAATCATAGTGGAGAAGTAGGTATGAATAATCAGAGACAGAATTGTTTGGTACTGAAAAAAAAAAAACTTATTTTTTAAGCTCAAGGCACAATTCCAATTGGTGAGCTGGGCAGTCCAGTCTTTCATGACAGCAAAACATGTCCAGATCAAAAAAAGAAAGTTGTTTCTTTCTGGTTTTTCTTTTTTTTTACACTCCTCCAGAACTAAGGAGTCTGATTTCAAGCAGCAATCAAGAGAGGCTGCTGGCTGATAGCTCTGGCACCTTAGAAGGTTCTGGCCAGTGGGACACCCTGCATTACAGCCCCATGTCTGGACCTTGGGAATTCAAACACAGGGTCTTACCCACAACACTGGAAGTTAAAATTCAGTTGTGAAGCCAAAGGGGAGAAGAACTGAAGACTCCCTCAGCTGGATGGAGCCCCAGAGAGACTTCAGTTGTGAAGTCAAAGGCACTTCCTCATAAGCAAAGACTTCAAAATTTCAAGAGCACCTACATATTTAACTAAAAAACAAACTTAAAAGAAACACCAAGGACAAAATCCATAAACCAAAGTTAAATCTCTCTAGGTCTAGGGCTCAGTTTTAATTAAAAGATGAAGGCTGATTTTAAAATCCAATATTCTTCTGATCTGCCAGTCTGCTTATGGGCTACTCCTATGTCCTTTTTGCTGTAAGACTAACAAGGGGTCTTTTCATTACTAAGTTTTTATACAACTTTATACCTGCACCACCCACCCTCCCCCATGCCACCAGCACTGAAGACACCATAGGTGACACCATACTTACTACAAAATGAAATTCAGCACTGTCAAAACAGGTCTCAATGGGGAAGGGGTGCTATTCCAGAATGTTACAGAAGAAAAAACAAAGGAAATATTTAATTGCTCAGTTTTCCTTTGTGGCCTTATGGGAGAAGCAAGTAATACCACTCTATTAACACAAAAAAGTGAGCTAGGGCTGTCAGGAAGGCACATCCCTCTTCTCCTTTGTAATATCTGTCAGGTAAGACCTCACATTGTAAGGCTTATGTGATAACTTAATGTGTTCTGTTTACTTGTAGGAAAAGCACCTGACTACTGACACTGGACTACAGTATGCTAATATTTAAGTTATTCACAAGATGCACAAGATAATTTAAGAGGCCTTTTTAATAGACATTTAGGTATACTATTCTGCAAAGACTGAGGATATGCAGCAGAACTGCCCCAGGGAGGTAGATTTCAGCTTTGGAAATGTTTCTGCACACAGTAAGAGACTACATGGAAAAAGTCTAAAAATTAATCATCTTTCTTGGATACAGTTAGCAGGTTTGTGTTAACATCAATGGCTGATTCAGTTTGGTCTACTTGTCAGGGAAAAATGGTGAAAAGAGTACACAGAAAAGAGCTTATCTGCTGGTATGGAAAGCAGAGTATGGGAAGCTGGCATGTTAATTTTCCCGCTGGTCCCTAGTGATTATTCCAGAACACAATCTAAAGCAAACTAATTTCAAATACTTTCACATTTTTATCTATCTAATGGCTATGTTAATTTTTACTGTTCACTTCTGCTTATGAGAACCTTCAAGTTTTACTGCGAGCATTCAGACTTCTGTTTCTCTTGCATTTTGTGCTACTTGGCCTGTTCCTACACAAAACTGTCATCTGTGCAAAACTGCAAGCCTTCTTGATTTTGCATATCCTCACCTTTTTCATTTAAAAGATAACTAGGATACTTGCCATGCCTTGGGCACGCAGGTAGCGGCATTTGGCAGAATAGCATTATAAAAAAATTCCACACTAGAAAATCCATGGCAAACTAAACTAAGAAAAATACAGTATTTGGGCCTCCCAAAGGTAAAATGTTTATGCTAGCCAAATGTCTAACTCTGTTATGGGAAGACAGTTAAAAATAACCACCAGAGTAATTTGCTTCTAACACTAAACAAAGAACTTTATTCAAATAAGAAAAACTGTTCCACATCCCTAAAGGTACTTTGCTTCAAATACACACACTTGCTTGCCCTGTTTCTGCATAGACTCTATCTCAGCTCAACAAAAAAACAGATTTCAGTGAACGTTTCTCCAGTTTGGAAGAAATTCAATATTGGATACGTGGACATGGGAACATGGCACAGCAGAAGGGAGTCAAAACCCTGACTGCACTCTGGAGCTTGCCTTGTACTTCCCAATACAGAGTGCCTTGCCACTCTCCCCATACTTACTGTTTAGCCCAACAAAACCTCAAATACAAAGGACTTGTATGGAGCTGGAGTGATCTGCTGCTCAGGACTTTATGCTGCACAGAAATACTATGCATAAAATAGTAGGGTGCTGGTTGGCCAGTATTGCTTCTGCGTGGATATCCCCAGAGTGTATCCTCAGGTGATTTTGCTGCCTGAATCAGTGTGTGCATATATTACATTTATATACCCAGAGATATATATGTACATGTAAATTTCTTCACTGAAAGGGGTTCTTCACTAACAGGCTGTCCAGGGAAGTGGCTGTGTCACCATCTCGAGGTATTTAAAAGACATGTAGATGTGACGCTACGGGACATGGAAGTGCTGGGTTAACAGCTGGAATCAATGATCTTAAAGGTCTTTTCCAACCTAAACGATCTGCGATTACATATATATATGTATGTACGTATATAAATGTACCTATACAAAGGGACAAGGGATAATGCTTTTAAACTAAAAGAGGGTAGGTTCAGACCAATATAAGGAAGAAATTTTTTACAATAAGGGTGATGAAACACTGGCACAAGTCGCCTAGAGAGGTGGTGGATGCCCCAACCCTGGAAACATTCAAGGCAGGCTGGATGTGGCTCTGACAACCCAATCCAGTTGAAGATGTCCCTGCTTACTGCAGGGAAGTTGGACAGGATGACTCTTAAAGAAAGGTCCCTTCCAACCCAGTTGTGATTCTATCCACCCATACACAAAGAGCAGGGTGTGAAAGGCATGGCAGGCCTCACCTGTCTGGAGTTCGCCTCTTCCCGTTTTCGTTCACATCGAGAAGCAGCTCTGAGGAGTCAACAGGTGAGGTGGTGCTGGCATCCAGAAGCAGCTGTTCGTGCTGGGCGAGGTACTGGGCTGGGTTCTGCTTGGCTAGCCTTGCACAGTGCAGCAGCTCCCGCTGCAGCAGGGGCAGATTGGCCTGGAAGAGCATGGCACACATTAAGAGCATAGCTTGCAGGCAGTTTCAATAGAGATGGAACAAAAAAACAGGAAATCAAAGAAAAGACTGCTCTGAGATGAACCTGTTGCAACCATCCTCCAGTTAGGTTTGTGGTTAGGCAGGCAGCCTCTTTATGGGCTCAGATCACGGCTATGGTTATGTATGCATGGAAGGACAGGAGTTTACTGAAATGGAAAATAAAACTAAATGCTACAAGAAAACCAGGTCTGAGTTTTAAAAACATCAGGTCTAATCTTTAAATCAGGTCTTATCTTTAAAAAGGTAAGAAGTGCTGCCCTGGCAGATTTCATCCCCTTTCTTACAATCCAAACCCTGAGTTCATATGAAGCAGCAGTTTTCAACAAGTAACAAACCTTCAATGTTTGTTTCCTATTCAGACTGCAGTTAGTATTTTGAAATCATTTGAACCCATAGGATCTGTGGCTCTGTAAGCTGCCTCAGTCACTACCCTTCAAGGGCCTTGGGGTGTACGGGATTGCCCTCAGTTTTCCCATTACACTTGCAGTTACACATTAAGATACAGATTACAACAAAATCTCACATTCCAAGCTTCAGCTAATCATCCGGAGGGCTATGACCTTCCTCTTAGCAAGATGTAGCTTGAATTTTTAACCTTCCTCTCAGGGCCCCAGTGGGACTTGGGTCATGAGCTGGAGCGTACCAGGACTCAGACACAGAGAATTGAAAATGCTCATTGATTCCCGGGTGGCAAAATCTGCCAATCTACTGGGGTCATACTTAGTCATACTTCATGCTAGACTGGGACCAAGGTGGAACTGTATGTCCTTCACCTCAGCGTGGACAGATGGACATCCTAGGAAATATCTTCCTTTCTTGCTAGCACACACATACATCAGTGTTAAGATAGTCCAGTAATTTCTGACATACTCACTTGTGCCATAAGGGGATGTGCCCTGACCTCTCTTGTTCCATGCCCAATGCACAATGACTTGCTGCCTGAGGGTCCTCAAGTACTGGATTAAATTTTATGACCTTTAATAACTAGAGATAAGGCAAAGAACTCCAATGCCCCCCTTTGATTTTGAAATAATTCCCATAGGAAAATATTTCTTAAGTCAATTTTTTTAATGTGTAGGGAACCAAGCACAAAACCCCAGATGTTTTGGAAAGTTTTGAGCACATAATCTTGGTAAATTACTTTGCACTATACAAATGGCAAGTGTTCCAGCACTTGCTTCTGTACTATAGGAGTGGATCCACTAAGCAATAAAAAAAAATCAGAATAGGGACAGTACATACAAACCTTTCAACAGAGGAAAAAAAAAAACAGCAGCAACTGCTATCACTTATTCATGTTAGGATGAGAAGACAGATGGTTGTGGAACATGAAGTCTTTTCAAACCTCCACAGAACACAAATATTTTGTGAAAGTACCAAAGAAATACCCTCTTTTGGTTCTGTCACATTTTTGTCCATGGCTACTGCATAACAGAGAGAGAGGAGTACTTTTGTGAGCATTGTTTTTCACTTGTTTTAATTTTGTTGTTTTTTAAAAGCTCACAAAGAACCTAAGTCAAGACACCCAACTACTTGAACTGCCTCATGGAAGAAAAAGATTGGAGAAGTTTAATTATATTTACAAATAAGTTTCTGGGGAAATAATGGGATCAAAGCTACGATTTTAATAGTGGTGTATAGCTGGAAGTTGTATCATCACATCTCAGCATGCCTGTGAGGTAGAATTGTGAAGTTCCCACTTTGCAGCTGAGTAACAAAGGAAAAAAACAGCACCTTTTCATCACTGTTGGGGCCTGTTGGCAGACTTCTACATCTGTACATGTGAAAGATACAAAGCAGTTTTCAAGCAGAAGCCAGATATATTTAGGTTAGAAAAATACAGATTGCAAACAAACATGATATTACTGGCTTACAGACCTCTAAAATGTTGCACTCCAGTGTCCGGAATGTGCCCCTACTCTTGTTTTGGATTGGTAGTGTCTTAGCCTCCTCCATTAATTTCGTAATCATACATAGGAAGAGGAGAAAGTGGTTTTTACCCAGACCTGTTTTCCACTTTCAAATGTCCTAACAAGAAAAGAAAACATTATCTCTGCGCCTGCAAAAGAAGCTGCAGCTCCAAAAGGCAGTTTTATCATTTCAGTGCTCACTCCAGGTAATTAGTTAATAATGTTCCATTGTTGGATGTTCCTACTTTCTTTGAAACTTCAGCAAGAGAACTATTTCAGTATTATAATTTAAATTGAAAAGGCTTCATTAGTACAATTAGTCTTTGATGCAAGTTTTTATAATTTCAAGTTTAAATAAATTATTCACAGACGTCTTTTTAAAAAAATTTTGACAGATTTCTGCTCAGAGAACCTGAGTAACTCAACATCATCAAATCATATATTGCTACTGATGCTTACAACAAATATGCACAGCACGTTTATTGAAGAACAGAGCGTTGGCAGTACTGAACATGTACACCATGTACCACTTAAATTTAATAGACTAAATCCTGCTTGATATTAATATAGAAAATGTGCACAAAAAGGCTCCCAGCCAGTGAAGGGTTCTGCAGGTGAATGATCTTATCTTCCTCTGAACCAGTACTGGTAGAAAGATGAGCGATTTGATGACTATTTATTATCTGTAATAGATCGGTGCTCCCTGGCGTGAGGCACCGTACAAACACATGGTGAAGAGTAGCTTCTTTCCCAGAATTTTTATTACAGAAGCACAAATATTGGCCTCCAACTGCAACATAGCATTTGGTAGACCTAGCAATCTGTAGTGGATCTAGACCAGACAGGATATACAGCATGCAAAAGGTTTCAAGAAGGTTTGAGTGATTTGCCTATGATCAGGTAACAGATCAGAGGCAAAGCTGGGAACAGAAAACAGGTCTGGCTTGAAGAAAAGTATTTGGGACAGAAGGGACTACAGGGCCCAGGAGTCTCTCTCTTGCCATGGTAATGCTGCAGGACACAGCCAAGATCCTAGCTCGGGTCCTGGGAAGCAATACTGCCAAGTTAGCACAGTCTTTAAGGAACTGTCTTAGCTAAATTTAATCCCAGATTGCTTTGGTCTACAATAAATACATATATAAAAATTATACATATATTTGCCGGGTGCTCCAGCAAGAAGTACAGAAAGTTTTCCATCTGGT